AATCTTTTCAGCCTCTTCTCTTGCCACCTTTGCTCATGAATACCAAGATTCTGCCAAATGGAACTTCTGACCAAGCCTGGACATACCACACACCATCATTCCTGCATGCTTATGCTCACACTATTCCATTAGACTCAAAAGCTTCCTCTTCACACTTTTCCCCTTGTTTACCAGGTCCACTTCTAGTTTTTCCTTTTAAAAAATAACTTCATGTAAAAGAAATACATGCTTACTATTTTAAAACTCAGAAAATACAAAAAATTATGGAAAAAGTTCCCCCCAAAAAAACGGTTAACTGTCATTCACACTTAATTTTTCATCGTGTTTTCTACAGTTACATATTTATGGATCATACCTTGAAATAGTTTTATTTCATACTTTTAAAAAAATCTAATATTAAAAAAAAATCTAATATTACATTGTAAGCTTTCTCTTCAACTGTCATCATTTATTTGACAATATATTTTAATGGCTGCATAATTTATATATAAATTATGACCAAAAGAAGGGTTAAACCAACAAACCCTATAGATAATATAGATATTATAATATATAACTATATATATTAATAATATAGAATTATATTAGTACATATATACGTTAGAAGGTCTGGTAGCGTAGTGCCTAAGGCACTTGACTGCTAACCAGAAGGCTGGCAGTTCAAATCCACTAGCCACTCCTCGGAAGGAAGATGGGGCAATCTACTTTCATAGTGATACTGCCTCGGAAACCCAAGGAGGGGTAGCTATGAGTCGGGTCCAACTCAACGGCACATAACAACAACAAATATATATATATATATATATATATCTGTAGGGTTTGTTTAACCCTTCTTTTAGTCATAATTTTTGTATCATGTTATCAGGGGAAACCAGTCCCTGGAGAAGAAATCATACTTATATATATAAAGTAGAGGGTCAGTGAAAAAGAGGAAGACTTTCAACAAGACAGACTGACACAGTGGCTGCAAGAATAGGCTCAAACATAGCAACAACTGTGAGGATGACACAGGACCAAGCAGTGTTTTGTTCTGTTGTACATGGGGTCACTGTGAGTCAGCTTTGACTGGACAGCACCTAGCAACAAATATATCGTGTGTGTGTGTGCATCTAGATAGATAGATAGATATAGATACAGTCAGTTCTCTTAATCCGTGGGTTCTGAATCCATAGATTCAACCTATGGCAGACTGAAAATATTCAGAAAAACAAAACAGAACAATCAAGTGGTCAAAGCAACTCCCCAAAGGCTAAGAGGGAGATTAAAGTGTTGTTTACGTGGCATGACATTGTATTAGGTATTATGCATCATCTAGAGATGATTTAAAGTACAAGGGAGGATGTGTGCAGGCAATATGAAAATACAACTATTTTTTTTTAAGGGACTTGAGCATCTGTAGATTTTGGTGTTTGTGCTGATCCTGGAACTAATCTCCTGTGATTACCAAGGGACAACTCTATATACACTCTAGTCATTTAGGTGGTTTCCTTTCAATTCTCTTTTTTAAAAAATTTGCTATCACAGATCATACTACAAAGAACAGTTTTGCACATAACTCTGGCAGCCCCTCTGATTATTTTCTACAAGGGAATTCTTGAACAACAGAAGAGATCACTTTTAGGCTCCTGATATACACTGTCAAGTTGCTTTCAAGAAAAGATGTACAAATCCACAAACTCACCTGGGGAGCATGAGTGTTCCTCTTACAACAAGCCTAAGCCCATGGCCACAACAGGACCCTACAGGACAGAGTAGAACTGGCCCTTAGGGTTTCCAAAGCTGTAAATCTTCCCACTCAGAAAAGCCAGTGGATTCAAATTACCCACCTTTCAGTGAGCAGCCTAGTGCTTAAACACTGCATCACCAGGGTCCCTCCCCTCCTACAATAACCTCTCTGTTGAAAATTATTATTTTTGGCTTTGATCATTTAAAGGAGCTCTGGTGGCATTGTGGTTAAAGCATTCGGCTGCTAACCAACCCACCAGCCTCTCCTCTGGAGACAGATGGGGCTGTCTGCTTCCATAAAGGTTTAACGCCCTGGAAACCCTGGGAGGTAGTTCTACTCTACCCTACAGAGTCACTGTGAGTTGGAATTGACTTGATGGAGTTGGTTTGGGTTGGTTTTTGATAATTTAAGAGGTAAAGACAGTATTTAATTTATTTTTGCATTTCTTTGATTAGGCTGAACATTTTTATGCATGTTTTATTGTGTGCTGTGGAGTTGATTCGACTCACGTGACTTAGATGACAGAGTAGCACTGCCCCATAGGGGTTCCTAGGCTGCTAATCTTTACCAGAGCAGTTTACCAGGTCTGTACTCCTGCGGAGCTGCTGGTGGCTTCAAGCCTCTGACCTTTCAGTTAGTTACTCACCATATATATTTTCTCTTATGTAAATTATCTCTTTGAATTGCTTGTTTAGCTTTCAATTGGAGTTAAAATTCCTGCTCATTTTCAGTACTTGACTTAAGCATCTTCTCACCGTGAAGTTCTCCTGACAACTCTAGTTGTTCTGTCCTAGTCCAGTCCTCTGGTCTAACAGCTCTGTATGCATTTATTAACAGGATTTCAATACTCATGTTGTCAGAAGGGACCATTCCCTGGAGAAGGATATCATGCTTGGTAAAGTGGAGGGTCAACGAAAAAGGGGAAGGCCCTCAATGAGATGGATTGATTCAGTGGCTGCAACGATGGGCTCAGATATAGCAAGCATTGTGGTGCTGGCATAGGACCGGGCAGTGTTTCGTTCTTTTGTACATAGGCTTGCCATGAGTTGGAGCCGATGGCATCTAACAACAAGAGTATAACTATTTACATGCCTGCCTCCCTCACCAGACACTGAACCAGGATGGAGTGTTATCGTTCTCAGGCACCTAAACAACTGCTTGGTGACATTAGAATTTATAGCTAATAAATGAGTCAGTGAAAATGAGTTGGAAGTTGACTTTAACTTAACGTGGATTTCATTAGGTAGATATAACATTGTGTATAAAAGAAGAGTCCTTGGGTAAATCTATTCAAACTTATTTCAAGTAATATATATATGCTAATAGAGTAGTAATATAAATGCTAATAGAATAGTATATAAAACTCACATTATTAAACTGCTAGAGAATAAATATTGCTGGAAACAATTAACTCAATGAAAAACAAGCACTTTTCTTTGATTGGAAGAAAAACAATTTCCTTTGCAAAATGTTATAAAATTATGTTTATTGATTTATCTGGGACCTTTTCAAATTATCTGGACAATTATCATAACATACCTTCCAAAGGACAGCACAAAAATGATGTACTTCCTCTGACAATAAAGCACATATTACATACACATTAAACATATAAATTAAAGGTAAACTTTGAAAACAACTGGACTTTTCGGCAAGTCATACTCTCCAAATAATTTGTGTATTTGGAATTTGGCTTCACAGTTTTGCTATAACTTTTTAAAAAAATACATATATATAAATCCAGGTTAATACCATCTTTGAGATACCAGAAAAAACCAGAGGTGAAAAAAATGGGGTTGCTGCTAAACTGGAAATAAGGTAAATACTTCTGTCTTTGGAAGGGATTTCTTCATGCAGGTGTTAAGTCTGCAGTTTGGGAACTATTCAAATGTAGCAGGCTCTCTATCTCGGAGTCTGACTGTGTCAGGGGACAAAAGGACTCCAGAGTGCTGAAACCCCACTAATGTCCCTTCGTCTGTTCATTATCAAATGTGAATGCTCTTCTTTCACCCAAATCACAATAAAAATAAAAATTAAAAAAAACGTGAATGCTCTTAGCTCTAAGCTGGGTTTAGAGGCTCCTGTTCATCTTAGCAGCTGCAGACACATCTTTTCCATTCCTCCTTTTGGGTCAGTGTTGCTAACTTTGTAAACATTTACCTGTACAGTTAAAGTGCTCAGTTGTGCTCCTTCTGAGCCACATTCTGCCAGTTTTGAAAATGCAGCTCTCGGAAACCTTAATAAGATCTGACTGTCTGCACAAAGAACAGAATGTGGCTCGTAGTAGGTAGATACTAAGGTAGACATCAAGGTCAATGCCAGCACCCTCAGCTATGGTGATGGAGTCCAGGGTGGGCTGTGTGCCATGCTGAGTGCCTGGCTGCTTCACACAGCCACGTTTTATAAACACACCTCTCTGGTAAGTCACACATCACTATTTTTCAAACATGCATTCCTCCCTTCCCTGCAGAATCCAAAATTATAATAAACCTATAAAAAAACCTAAAAATTGAAATAACATAATTTTAATGATTCCTACTGACATCTCTGCCTCAGTATGCAAAAAACT